CACAAAACTCTTTACCATTCCATTTATGTTTTCTTGTACCCTGATAGGTCGTTTCTTTCCAAAACTTCAGTGGCTAGAGAAGAGAATAAGGTTTTCTCTCCTATCCATGTTCTTTCCACTCCTCCTGAGTGATGCTTGAACTCATTATTCTACTCAAGGAAAAGAGGGTGAAGCTGGGCACTTGTCAATAACCCTGGAGGTTTTCCCAGATGTATGGTAGGAGCAGGACCAGCCTACATGGGAGCCTCCTCATAATTCTGGTTCAGAGATGGCTCTTCGCTCTCCAGTTGAGTTGAGCGTGGCCCTTCCCTTTGGTCATTCTCTTCTCTTTAATGATCATGGAAGAGGGTCCTCAACTCCTCGTAATCCTCTATGCGGAGCATCAATTCCTGTGCCATTGGTTTGACTTAAGTTTGTTCCACACCCTCCTCATAATTTCAGGGGCACGAAGTTAGGGAGTTGGAATTTCAGTTCATAATTCCAGGCCAGGTAATCTCTATTTTTTCAGGTTGATAGAAGTGTGACAGGTCCCAAAATTTTGAGTTTTGTGTGTTTCATTTTGTACTTCTTTAGGTCAGGGCAAGAGCTTGCCCACTTGGTGTTCTTGCCTTCTTTTAATAATTTTGGTGTTATGACAAGCAACATTCTCTAAATTTCAGGTTTGGTACCAATAGTACCACATTACTAGTCAAGACCAAATACAAAGCCATCCTAATGCCCTAGCTACTACATCTTTTATCTCGATTTGGTCCACAGCCCTATAATTCCAATGACAAGATGTGGTAATTCCTCTTCCTGGTTGGAGTCTGGATGAATTTATGTTCTTCTAATAAGGTTTGGATTTTGCCTCTCTGGCTGGTCAGTCTTTAACACCTAAGAATTAGATTTCATGTTGTCCGGGTAAAAAGCATACTTGTTTCAGAAGTAGTACAGACCCCACTAGTGTGCTATTGCTATATCTCATTTTTGCATCCTCTTTTTTTACGCATATACTTTTTATGTGGACCTTGCCATCACCATCCCCTCCACCTTGTCAATGTAGGATTCTAGCTAAAGTGTGTAAGGAGGTAATTGTGTTTAAGAAGTTAACATTTTCCTATACTGAAAATGTATTTCAGATAATATTTACCTCCTTTCACACTCTCCTGTCCTTCTTCCCCATGATATGGCCAATTTTGGATCTTTTGATTTGGACCATCTTGAAAAGTGAAAAGGAAGTAATAACGGGGAGATAATATATGATTCTGGTATTGGGGGTGCAATTATGTAGGTGGAGAGAATCAGAAGATTTAAATTGCTGTGGGCAATATGGTGGGTGTAAAGACTGGAGCAAGTGAGATAAGATTCATACCAATGCTTAGATGCGTAAAGAAGAGAAACTTTTGATTGGATGAAGCTAAACTCTGAAAGGAGGTAAGTATTATCAGAAATACATTTTGCATTATAAGAAAATGTTAACCTTGAACTTCAGTTTTGTTGTCATGTGACCCACGAGCTATGAAAAATCTCAATGTTCTTAGTCTTGAATAAGATAACTCGTGTCTGTTAGATGCAAGTATAGACCAGTGTTTCTCAACCTTTTTTGCTTGTGGCTCCCTTTAGAGTTTGATTTATTTTTGTGGCCCCACCATTCGTAGACGCTGTTACTTAGTAAAAAGTTACTTTATTTCCACACTGTTGATTTATAATATATTTATAGTATTATAATTATTTTTACAATATTGTATAGTTTTTAGATATTTTGTTTATAACGTACTGTTTACTTATACAAGTAAAAAATATTTTGTTAATCATTGACATTTTATTCAGTGTGATCCTTGAACCTGATGAACACTTAAATTTTTGAACATCTGGTTGCAGTGTAGTTAGTGATGAGCGAAGATCACCTCTCTTCACAACATCAAGGCGGTTACATGTTATTTTATAGCAAACAAGTCACCTGACTAAAACCAGATTCAACCAGATAAGATATGGGAAAGGTGATAAAATACAACTTTGCCTTCTCCCAGAGATGGGATACTTATTAGCTATTTCACTACTTATCCAGAAATAATGTTTGTCATATTTGAATCTAGCTTGGACTTTTATATCACTCTGCTGCTCTTAGGAATCAGTCAAAAACATTCTCAGATACCAGACAAATATTTTGATTGTTACTCGAGTACTAGTCTCGTCTGGTAACTTGACTTTTGAGCCATGGGGGATACGGGGGAGAAGGGAACATTTGATTCAATTTTAAATATTTTATTTGTACAGTGAAGTTTCGATGGCCCATCAGAATTTACTGTAGCCCCCTAATTTTCTGTCATTCACGTGTGGCCTCTTAGAAACTTGGTGTGCCCTCCCCCAATCCCTAAATTTTAAAGTTATAAGTTCTCAAAGTCATTGTGGGAGTGAAATTATAGCTTATAGTAAAACTGATTTTATCAAAGATGGCTCTAGAACACCTTTGATTTTTTTATTATTATTTTATTAATCCGAGTCTTCATTTACTTGTTTAGGAAAAAAAAATGCATGAAGAACTGTTTGCTCTCCTAGTATTATTGAAAAATTTAAAACTCAGAAAGCAATGCCTAAAACTTAATTAATCTATTCTTCTTTTAAGGAAAAAAAGAAGATAATACACAATTATTTTCAATTTGTTTCATTTCATGTTGAGAACCACTGGTCTAGACAATAAGTACATTTTATTTGCCCTATTGACACATATGTTCAAAAGTTCTTTGACATATACACCTGGAAAAAAGTTAAGCACCCCCGTGTTTTTTTCAAGTGATTCAGATTCGACGTTCTTGTGACTGATTATAAATTACCATTCAATCTAAACGTGTTTATCAAATGAAATTATGCATTATTGGGCACAAGAAAACAAGATT